CTTTGTCAAAAGACTGGATCTCCGAGTGTCTTTTCCGTTTGCCATGTTAACTTGCTGTCAGTTTTACATCAGCTGCTTAGTGCATAAATGAAAGATTGCTTTGAGAATTGCTTTGAGAATGGGATATTGCCACAGTTCCCCTCCTTCCTCCCTCATATACACTCATTCAGACTTAGGGAAAATCATGAGTAGTCCTGTCACAATAACACTTACTAGGGCTCAATGAACATGTAAGCACATGGTGGGAGACAAAAGCATCTCCACGAAGAAGAGAAAGAACAGCTTCAGGACCATCTCAACCATTTCTTGACAGAAGAGCTCATTTTCAAAATTGTTAGATTTTATTATTAGAAACCTCCCCAAACCATACTATTCTATGACCATTCCTATAGCATTTCCAGTTTTCTTAGAATTTACTTTGAACACTGAAGTTGAGCGTGGTGATTAAAATGAAGAGTTGAGGGGATTAAAGTCTCGTTTTGTTCACATCTATGGCCAAATATCTTCAGTGGTTAAAATATGTAAAAGTAAGCTTATACCACTCACTGTAGTTTAGTATCTTTGTTGTCCTTCACCTCCATCCTACCAGTAGTTTAGAGGTGAGAGCAAATTCAAGAGAAGACAACTCAATAACTGTGCTGGAGATAGGCTAACTACACATGGTATGGCTTAATATTACCTCTCTTTGCCAGCTTCTTCTTTCTAAAGATTCAAGTGAACTGAGTGAATTGAAAGTTAGGCCTGCATTTGTTGAAAGGAGATTTCCATATGCTTATTTGAAGAGTCTTTGAGACTACAGTGTTTTTTGATCCACATCTTCCTTTACTAAGAAAAGAAGAGTCTGTTGTGCATAACTGGATTGATAAGGCTCTCTTCCACCAGAATATTACAGAGGATACGCAAGATTCTCATGAAGGGCTGCTTATACCAGTGGCAAATGGTCTCATCTATATACAAGTGTAACATGCTGTGTCTGAATTGTTCACCTGCCCTGGAGGAGGTGGCCCATTCTGTAAAAGTATTTCTGTATATGTATTCTAATTAAACAAGTGAAGAAACTGTTGTAGAACAAGCAGTAATTTACTAATCACATCCATTTTAATCTTGAGTGCCTGTGGTTCAAAGATTCTGAACAAGAATCTGCCTTCAGATCTGCTTCAGCTCTTGCTGCTTTCTGAAGAGCAGACAGGAGATACTTTGAGAATACCTTGGAGTGGAAAGAATGAAGGAGCTCCACTTCCAAGAATTACTGGAAATTGCCTCAGACAGCTCAATAGTTGTGGGGATTACAGAATTTTGCTAGTCTTCCTGTAATTATTTATCCAAATGCTGTCATGACTCGTATTTTAGAGAATGGAGGACATATGCTTACCTATTTTGACCTTGAGTTACAGGTTTTTCAGTTCATATATCATTTTTATTCTCATCTTCCTAAGGATAAAACTTTATGATCATTCTGCATTTTGCAGCTTTTCTTTCCATAGTTTATAGGGTAGATGAGCTAGTTTATAGGGTAAATGAGCTAGCAGAATTTCTATCTCCTCTGAAATCAAGGGCTCCCTATAGGAACAGAGCAAGAGATTTAGCTGCTGTAAACCAAGCACAGAGAAATTACCTTTTTTGACATGGACATGACTCCAGCTAAATATATAGAGAGATGGAGCCAGGACAATTTTGGTTTACCTGTATCTACTTTGAACTGATAAATTGTATCTTTCATCTCTCTACAGATATTTTAAAAGGTACTGGAAAGTCCATCTGCCAGATGGAAAAATTTGACAATGTACTATTAGTCTCAGGAGAGGAAGTAGTGTGATTCTACTAAGAGAAATTACAGAAATTAGCACAACAGGACTTGGTCTTTTTAACTGTCTTTCCAATTGTACCTGATCTCCTAGACATGGTCTTGCAGGTCTTGCCAGTGCTATAATGCTTTTGGAGGTGAAGTTGCCTAGTCATAGAAGAGACCATGTAATGTAATAGTTCAAATGATGTGCTATTATTTCAATAGCAACTCATGTTTATTTGTTTGAGTATAAATACTCTGCAACTTCTGATGAACAAGCATTATTGTCTAAATTAATAAAGTTAGCTGTTAATAGGTGAATTTCCATCTTTCATCCCCATCTTTGTAAGAAATGTTATACAATCCTAAGCAATATTGCTGACAGCACCTCAACATGGATTTGTATGGGCCAGCCTCTACCCATCCATTTCAAATTCCAGCATGGTAAATCATTATTATTCTTCATAGAGTAGAAGTTTTAGCATTTTTTATTTGTGGAGAAAAATTTAGAAATGTAACTATTGTCTTTTGGAGTTTAATCCAAACTTAAGAATTTTTGAACTAAATAGATTTTCCTTTTTTTTTATCCCAAATACGGTGCATATGTTATTCTGCTTTCTGTATCTTACCACATCTAAGAAAATGTACTTAAGTGAGAAGAAATGTTATCATTTGGATCAAATTACATTACAGGTACAAATGACTATGAGTGCTCCAGGGTGAGCCAATGTTATTCTGGAAGTCAGATGGCTATACTGTGCTAACCCAGTGTGTGCAATATTCAGGCCTGTGACTAAATAAATTCCAGAATGAAATCAACTCAGTAAGAGGAAATAGTTGCTGACTGAGCTGAAAAGTGCTCCGTGTGCACTACTGTCTACCATATGCACCAGAAAACCCTGCTGCAGCGCTTCTAGTTGTTACTGTAATTATTGTAGAGAAGGCTAATGTCACTGTTAGAGGGCAATCTGAAGAGCTTGATGTCATCAAAGTTAGCATTATTCATGTCAAAACAACAGTGCTCTAAAAATCTGTTCTTACAGAAGCAGCAAACCTGAACATTCACTTTTGTTTGGAAACTCTAAATATACTGAAAGCTCCATTGTTTTTTAGTCAAATACAATTGCAAATGTTGAATAATTTCTTTAATGTACTTTATTGCAGTGCTACAAGTTGCTTGGACACAAGATATTTTCTAAATCCCAAACAGTCTGCAGATTATACTAAGCAAATTGTAAATATGGCTGAAAAATTAGAAAAGCAAGAAACTTGTTTGGCATATACAACCTTTTACTCCACTGGAGAAATTGTACTTTATTTAATCACAGCTAGACAAAATGCCTTTACTGTAAGTGAGATTCAGGGCCTACTTTACTGATGTATTACTTCTTTAATGTACCTTCATTTATTCTGAAGTTACATCATCTAAACCTGTCCATTACATTTGATGTAACTTGTGTTCACTGAATCCTTTCTAAAAGTGCATGGACATTTTCAAGTACGATTATCTGTTAACAAAAAGGTGTCCCTACAACAAAATTCCTTCATAACAGCTCCTGAGCAGCTAGAATTTCCTCATCTTCTGAAACTGTGTTACAGCTCAGGCTTGAGTGATATAAACCACAAAAGGTGTTTCAGACACTTCACATTTTACTTTCTGTCTGAATGTACTTCTTTTTGTAAGAAGTAATCTTGGAAAAAACATGCCTCATTCTGCTTCTTGTGGAGTGCAACTGACTGAGTTTCTGATATCTCAAAACCAGTTCTTACTGCCTGTTATCAGTCAATGATACATCTTCACTCTTCAAGCATCTGACTGCCTCTAATAAAAGACATAATCTATCCTCAAGTGGGTACCAGCAGCATTGTGGCCGTGGTAATACAGAGCTCAGCACCAGGTAACCACTGAGTAACCACACACACACACACACATACAAACACACACACACACACACACACACACACACACATATATATTCAGGAGCCAGGATGGGTTTTGTAGTTTGTTCCGAACTTTTCCCCACTGTGAGTACAGTGCTAATAGTAACGAAGCCAGCTCGGGCATGTTTCCTAGAGCAGCTGTAATACTTTCGACTGCAATATGGACAGTCCTTTACGTTTTTGCATGAGAATCAGAACTACTAGTTATAAGCTGAAGCTTGTACATCTAAACCATCTGATTTAGGGGCAACCTTTCATCTTTTTCACAGCTTTGCCCCAGATTGTTATACAATAAAACATCCTGACCATGTAAGAATCAAATCCATCAGTTGATTATGGTATTTCCTAAAATAAATAAAATGGAAATGTCATGGATACTACTAAAAGCTTTTTACTGAGTGGGAAATAGTGTTTCAAAAGGTAGCCGAAGTTACCACGGGAAAATGCAACGTTTGGGAAGTGCTATGTTCCCACAAGCCTTTGTTATTCTGTTTGATTTATGCTATTTAATACCACTACATATAACTACTTCACATTTTAGATGTGTCTACAGCTGTAATATTGAGGGCTGATCTCTAGATCAGTGGTAGCTAACCCAGGCTTCTGTGCTTCAAGTTACAACCCACAGTGTGAGTGAACGTCAGTCCAGATGCAATGTATTCACATTGCTGTGATGCTTTGCCTGAGCCAAACAGCTCCATCTCTCAGCTTTCTCTAGAATTGTGCATCTCAACAGGACACATTAGCTTGAACACATTAGCTTGAACTCATTGTATCTGTTCGGCTGAACCTGCTGTTGGCACTTGTTTGTATAGTTGCCTTGACTTTTAAAAATACTTCTCTGTGGTAATGGAATACACAGTATCATCTTCAGGACTACAGGATATAAAAGTCTTGATTCAGCCCTTGAAACATATGATGATAAGCAGGATTTTATACAGCAATATTAGTGCTTATTATACTAGTTTATGATACCAGAGAGCAGTTATGGAAACATTCCCTGCCATTAGGAGCTTATAATCTAAACAAAATATATTGCACAGAATACAAAAAGCAGAATCATTGTTTTCTTACTTCAGTGCATGTCTTGCTAACGTACAGGATTTTAAACAGAGCAGGGAGTTAAATGAGTTATTGTAGATTAAAATTAAAGATGATGACAAGTGTGATAGCTTGAGGAGTTATTGTAAGAGTGGCTCAAAAGAATAAAATTATGGACAGGACCTGAAGCAGGACAGAGAACGGAGACATTGTAGAAAAGTTGCAGGGCAAAGGATCATTAATGACTTGGAGCTCAGAAAAATAAGAAATCAGTGTAGTGGCAGAAAACAGATTTTAATGTATTTACTTATCCTTATTACTGAAGTTGTGGACACTGACCAAGATGCTGTTGCACTAAGCTTCTTACTTGATGTCTGGATGTGTGACAGAGATTATTCCAGTTTCTACTAATTTCAGCGAGAGCTGAAATAGTGTAACTCCTTTAAAAAGCAGGCTGAAGACTTTTATTAGCTGAAGGCCAAGGTCAAATCTCATTAATAGATTTGCATGAATAAGTGCAGAAGTAGTATGTCCATGTGCTGGTATGAATCTTTTTCATACAGTGATTGCAGCTTCTGCTCACTAAAAACATTTTCCTGTGTATCAACAAAATATCCATTTATAAGAAGTAAAGAAAATATTACTGACTGCAATTTTGAAGAGACTTGTTGAGCAGTGAAGGGCTAAATGGTAATATAAAAAAACAAATCATAGGCAATAGCATCCCTTCACCCTACCCATTGATATGATTGATTAATAGTAGTAGAAAACCTAAAGATATAAATTAAAGTGATTCCATCCATCCAGTAGTTCTTAACAATTACATATTACTACAGTATTTCTCACTGCAGTTGTTTAGAATTTTAGGAGCTAGGCCACAGATACCTCAGCTCTTCAAATTTATTGAATATGCTTTGGAGATTAATTGGACCAGAGCAAACTGACGGATATCAGCAACTTCAAGTATTGTTCAATGTCTAGCTGCTCTCTCTTTTGTTTCTTTACCTCCCCTTTAAATGTCTTGATAATTGCTTCTGCGCCTGCAGCGTCCATAATGATAAAGGAGGTAGAGCAGTACAAGGTTAAAAATGAACAACAAGCCAACAGCAACATCAAATCCGATAAAAATATCTGTGAAGGACAAACAACAAAGGAAAAGGGAGTTAATGAAAGACACATATGTACATCATTTTAGATGCAGACATAACAGTCTAATTACAAATATGTACAATGGAAATATAGTATGTTTTTTTCGTATTTCTGGCAAGATCACATTTTCTGACACATGCAACATAAGAACATATACTTCAATCCTAGAAATACATAGATAGCTTCCTGTGCATAGGCAAATCTTAATTCTAGATTTCCACGGGGTAAAAGAGAAAAAAAAAAAAAAGAATTTCATCAGGGATCAGCAAAACAGTGAATATACGCAGGAAGGAGGAAATACTGTGACTATGGAAAAGTCTTCTCATTCTTCCGGGCAGTAATATTTGGGTGGGAAGAGATTATCAGCTCTCAGCTGTTGGCTGAGGCAAATAGCCACTATATGTGCATGGATTAGCTGCACTCCATACAGAAGGTCTGATGCATCCAAGATACACAGGACCCTTACATAGCACCCACACCCATAATTCTCTTGGACATTTTCAACAAGCAGAGCTCTAGTTTTGACCGTGGCCTTTAGACAGCTCCTTACATGAGTATGTTCAAAATAGCACGGCCTTCACACTGGGTGGGCAAGTCTTCTCTTCACATTTTTAGAGAAATTTAATTTCTGTTGACCTTCCTTGTCCATAGTAAATCTGGCCCTCATTTGTTAAAGGAAAATCTGTCTATTGTGTGAAAGGTGCAAAGTTTGAAGCCATTGATACAATTTCTGCCTCCACGTCTTATGTGGAAAATACAGAACTGTTACACTACCTTTCACATTGTCTTTCTTCCCACATTCTTTTGACCAATTTTCTGTTATCACAGGAGAAACTAGTTCAGCAAACTTCTCAAGTGGACAAGAAGAGGTGCATCCTGGTAAAGTGAGCAGGTAAGGATCCTTTGAAGTGTCATTCCTATAATGCATTTCGATGCTATATCGCCTGATTAACAAGATTGAAAAGTTTTTTAAAAAATGTTCTTAAATAGAAGATTTCCTATTTAGACACAGCATGTTGGAAATAGGCTCTAACATCCTACTCTAGAACCTGTTCTTCAAGAATGGAGGCTTTGTGAAAGACATCTGCAAAGCCCACTTTGCTGAAGCTGATTATATTGCTGCACAGATCACCAGTCAGCTGAAAATGTCCTTCAGAAGGCTTCTTGAATGGCAGCAGCACCAGGTTCTTCCAAGCCAATTGGTTTGCCTTGGGATTTATGAAAAGTCTTGGAAATGTTCTTGCTGTCATTTGAAGAATCAGGAAAATTTATTTTACCGTTTACTTCTATCTGATAAGGCTTGTTTTCCTCTTCTTCCTGTTTTTCAAAGCACACACATACATGCACATCCAGCAAATGTGTTTTTTCTTAGTTTTAGTATAACTCTGTGCCTATGGACTGCTCACTGAAGTATCCATTTAAATCAAAATTGTATCTACTCACAATATTTGAGAGGAAAATTATTTTGGGGAAGGGGAAAACAAATTCCAAACACTTCTTGTTCTTGCATAGATGAGAAGATACTTGCCCGTTGCTTTCTTGGTAGAGTTCAAAAAACTGGCAAGCAGCATATGGTGGCAGTTTTCCATTGAAAATATTGAGAGCAATCTGGAGAGCCCCAACTGTGGTGTCATGCTATTGGGAGGAAAAAAATCCATCCTTGAAAGCCAGTTAAGTCAACTACCATTTATGCAGAGTAATTAGACAAGAATAGAAAGGGAGTGGAAATTAAGATAAAAGAAACCCTGTATAAATTTGACCATAAAACTGTATTCAGTATATTCACCATTGGGAAAAACATGGGTTCTACAGACAGCAGGAGGCATTTCCAAAGAGTTACTGCAGTATGTGTCTTACACCATCTGGCAGTATTTTGGAGACAGGGATACTGAGTTTTTTGCTCCCAGGTCAGAAATCAGTGTAAAGTAATATATCCTACAGCATTTCAAGTAAAGATACAAGTTCTTTTCTTTAGATAGTACACCAGACAAATAGTTGCATGCAGACTGTTCTCCTCACTTCCACTTCAGAATTTTTTTAGTTGTTGTTCCTTCTGTTTGAACTCATACAATAAAATCTCAGTTGGCTTCTATTTTTATGAACCAATTACCCATCCACCTGTAGTCTCTTCCTCTCCCCATTATCCCTCCTCTTGCAGAGATAGCAGGAGCAGGAGCTGCAGGAAGGAAGTCCAAACACTTTGATGCATAAATGTAAGCATCTTTTTATACATATCTGCTAGGCCTATTTCTATTATAGTCTAGCATCTATGTTTTAATTATTTTTCAGGTTCTGGAACTTTTTAGAATGATCAATTTCAAAAATAACAGTCTACTTGTACTCAAGATATTAAAGCAGAAGTGAAAAATCTGGATACATTTCTTTTTCCTTTTCAAAAAGAGTGTAGTACTGCTGGAAATCGTGTAGAAAGGACAGCAAGAAAGATTTAAGGTATCAAGTGGTTTCTATATGAGGAAAGATTAAATAGGGTAAGACTCTGTCTCAGAAAAGGAAAGATGGAAGAGGTGTGACAGAAAATATTAAATTCATGAGTGACCCAGAAAAAGTGACTAAAGATTGACTATTTCCTGTTTCTCAACATATAAATGTTAGGAAGGACCTAAATCAGTACTTTTTTACTTTAACACACAAGTCATTGATACAGGATGTTGCAGAGGCCAAGAGTATAAATGCATTTAAAAAGTGATAATATAAGTTGATAGAAGAAAGTCTGTCAAGAGCTATTAAACACAGAGACACAGATTCTACCTCAGGCAGTCCCTAAGCCACAGATTGCCTGAAACGTTTTATCACTGTGTGCTGGCATTATTCTCACATTCATCCCTGCCTTTGGCCCTTGTTAGAGACAGAATAATGAATGAGCTAAGTGGATCTTGCTCTGACCCAAGTGGCTCTTTTAACTCTCTAAAATAAATAAAATAATAACAATTAAAAAAAAAAACCAACAAAAAACCAACAAAACACAGAGGAGAGGTTTGGAGGTACAGCTGAAGTTCTACTATGTGCCACTACCTCTGGAGCATTTAAGGAAAAATGAACCATTAAGTCATAGGAAAACTGAACGATAAAATGCGTAGTTTTCTTTGCCAAGTATAGTTTGACTTAAACTGAGATGACAGCTATGCTTATGCTGTGTTCTTGTACTGAGTGGTGTTCAGCTTGTTAGCTGAATTAAACTGTATTATATTATTCTTTCACTTAACTTACAGGGAAACACTGATTATTCTCCTTAAGGGTCTTTTCCTGGTAAAATCAAAGCAAGATTTATTAAAGATGGAAATACTCACTGCAGAGTAGACCTCCATTTTTCTTGGTTTTGAAGAATTGGTAGCTTGTTTAATACTATTTAAAATAATATTCACAAGGACACCTTAAAAAGATAGGAAGAGGAAAATGAAGGTATAACATTTGCATGGAAACAAAAAAAGTGAAAGGTTATGAGGTTCAAATATGACATCTACTCAGGCCCCATACTTATTTTTTTAGCTTACTACAATTTCATAACTAGAGAGAAGGTATTACAGAGGTAAAATAGGTGATTCTTCATCGAGGTCAAGAGCAGAGACAGGATTCACAGGAAATCATCTAGAACTATCCTAAGAACTGGGGCTAATGACGCTTCCAGTTCTGTTATGCTGAGATCTCCTCTCCATCCTTTTTTGTCTGTTTCTAGTGTTGCAATAATGAGAACTGTGCTAGTCTCTTCCTCTCTACATTCTGAAGAAATATTTTGACTATTTATTTCCAACAAGTTACACAGTATCGATTCTTATTTTTTCCCAAAGCTCTTTTGTAGTCCCTCTCCAGACCAGAGACATTCTAAAACCAAAGGGATAAGGGCAGCAGAAATTCCCTGTAGCACAATTTATATCATTCTAAGGAAAGTAGACATAACTGGCATGCCTGTGAGTACTAGATAAATAGTCCTGACCAGATTATATGGTCATCTGCCAGCTAGTGGGCTTTAATACCAGTTCGAGCCTGTAATTACTGTATGGCTGGATCCAGAGATCTATATATGCCTGGACAATGAGTCTGCTAATAATTCTTTACCTAGAGCTAGACTGCACAGTACATGTATTAGAAAGCCTAGCCCCAGATGTTCCAGCCTGCAGATATTCAAGCTCAATTGTTTGCATTTCCTGCTCATGGACACCTGGGGATCATGTGACAAATTCCTGGACTGTTTCCTGAAGCAGCGTCAGAATATGCATGGCCTATGCACCCCTGTTTTGGAGCTAAGCAGTTGTCGCAGTTCTTGCAGTAGAGACATAACTGGAATCTCTCGTCTTCTCTGCTGATCAGACTGTTTTGGAGCAGCTTTATATCAGTCACTCAGAGGGCTACCAATGTGTTGCCAAGGTTTTGGCACACACAATATATAACCAGCACGTCAAAGGAAAAAACAAAAAACTGGAAACAATTAGAATAAATGTTGGAGAAGCAGAACTTAATCTAACCTATTATAAAGATGAGTAATGGTCTTAACCATGAGGGCCTGATTTTTTTCCTTTATATTTCTATAATATTTCTTAAAATTCTAATCCCTTAAAAAATCTAGAATAACAAAAGACAGAAGTTTTTACACCTTGTTGCAATATCTCATCCGTGTAAGTGCCAGTGTTCAGCACATATTTTAATGCTTAGTATGGCATCCAATCTCCATAGTTTCAAATGAAGGTTCTGTGTGAATAATTTTGCATGAGTGACAGGATGTTGCCTTTTATTATAAGCATTGTCTCCTCCCTTCTGAGAACTATGCATTTTTTTATTTACCTCCTTGTAGTCGTGATTTCTCTTCTGTTTTATAAAGCCCAAATAGTGATAATAAGGACAATTCTGCCAGTTTTTCCATCTTGTCAATTACATCTTTGGTGGCCCATACAGGGAGAGTGTAATTGTGAATACCCTAGTGATAAAGGAAAACAAAATAATGTTTATAATTCACTGGTTTCCAAAATCCTATTGCCTAGGCTCACACTGCTGAGTTTAGACTCTCTGAGGCTGTCCTGCAATTCTTTGCCCAGTGCGGTTTTACTCCCCAGCATGCCCTGAAACGTACTTTGCGGGGATGGAGATCAACCTGAAGTGGGTGTATAGGAAGAGCAGAAGCGCCTGTGTGAAGGGTATTCTTTGTAGGTATAATGTCTTCTTGCTATAGAGATATATGTTTTTGGTGGGAAATATCGCGGGCGTATATCTTGTCCTCTTCCTTTCCTCTGGATCTTCAGGTTATACATCTCTAATATTTTCTGCCTTTCCATACAGTTGTCCAGATACCAGTTCTATTACTGACCAATTACAGACAAGTGTCACTCTCCGGTCAGGTAAGAGTGACAGTGTCTTATTTTTTTTAATAGCCTCAGTGTGTGGAGGATATGTTCAAAAGGCTTCATGTGCTGCTGGTCATGACTGGGGCTGAATGGAATCCATTCTTATGATCAATCTGATTTTTTTCACTGGTAGCAATCATCACCTCAAAAATTTTCAACTGATAGATCTTGATCTTATCTCTCATGTTCAAAATCTAAGTTTTTTATGTTTACCTGTTGATGGGCTAAGGCTGATAATTTCATTTCTCTGTTAAAAATCACAAATATATCATAGGCAGCATGCTCAAATAATTCTATTGCATGATATTGGGAAGGAAAAAAGGGAATAATGGGAATGATTTTTGGTATCTGTTCTTCAGGATAAAACATGAAATGGAAAGAACAGTTTCCCAAGCTGTAAACCACCTTTTTGGGTTATCTAATACCAAAGTACTAAATTATAACTTATATTCAAATATATATATACAAAAGCAAAAACAAAGAAGCAGATCCAGAAGAGAAGGCAACTCATTCCTGTGAAAACACTTTGTCATGGTGTAATTGAAACCCAACATTAAAGTTATATTCTTCCCCAGCATCTATTGACTTATTATTACCTCACAATGCAGAGTATCGTATGTATTCCAGAGCTGGAAATTATCCAGTATTTTAAGATTATTTAGTTCAAGTCCTGTGTTAACAGCCATTGTTTGTATAAAATCCTGGGGGGAAGAGTGAAGAGTATACAACAAATATTCAATACATATGGAACATATATGCATATAGATCCATTAACGCCTGGCGTCACAATAATGTTTAATTTTTCACAAGTGAAACCCCTGTAGCAGAAGATTCTGGTCGCAGTTTTCATTTTGTAACTTCTCAAGGTACTGGTCTCTGTTTCAGACACTGTTTTTCTTGTCCCTGCTATGGATAAGTTTGGTGTGCTCTCTGTTGCACTCTTCTCTCCCTCTTCTGACTGCTCCAAGAGGCTACCTCAGTCACCTCAAGCCTTCAGATATAAGGAAGAGGAAGGTACTAAGGGAAAAGGAACATGAGAAAAAAGATGAGGAGAAAATAGAAAACTGAAGAGAGGTGAGGCAAAAAGAAACTGGAAAGGAAAGTAGGTTTTACTTCTGCCGTTGAAGGGGAGTTGAATATCTAATAGTTCTGAATATCTAATAGTTCCACAACAATTCCCATAGGGATTCTTTTTATGTGCTACCACAGAAGAATAAAGGGATACCTTAATATCCCTTATTCCCATGTTACCAGGTTCACACTATTAGCTGAGACAGAGGATAGTTATGAAGTCATGGTTCACCACCCATTGCAAGTGAGTGAGGCTGACCAGAGTAGCTGAGCTAGGGGAAAGTTAGAAATAAACCAAAAAAAGAAAAATACTGGGTTTAGCCCAAGCAGTAAGCCTGAAGTGACTTTGAGTGTAGTCAGGGTATGAGGACCTGAGACCCCTGCTTTATTTGTGCAGTCATACCATTACTAAGTGCAATGGTAGGCAAACAAGAGAGCAGCAGTAACCACGATCTAGAGCAATTATTATCCACATGAACATGGTTGCTTGAGGCAAGTATACCGTCCATGTACCTATATCCTGCTGCAGCACTGGAATGGGAAACTTTGAATCTCTGACTGTGAAGATTTGTGTCAGGGCCAAAACAGAAGCATGTTTTGTGATGGATCCAAAATGCATTCAGAGAAATTTACATAAATCAGAGTGTTCTCCTGGTTAGGCTTGCTTTAGTTCTCTGCTGTAGTGCCAACTTCAGAAAGTCAGAGCTGGAAAGCATAAACCTTTCCAAGTTTCAGATTTCTCAGATGTTTTAGAATTAGTTTTGTGCTACCCTGTAAAATTAGAAATCGCTGCATCCAGAAATTTCTCTTCTGCACAGATAATTGAATTCTAAGTAGTCTCAGAAAATTAATAATAAATTTACATTTTAAAAGATTAATGTAGAAAAGTGTGAGAAATATACAATGTATCAAACATACTTTTTGATCCTATTGGCCTAAATTTCTGATTTTAAGAGTCCTTGGGATTTTAATTTTTTTTAATATATTTTTGCATTTTAGCAAAAGGAAACAATGCAATTCCCTAATTTCTAAATCTTAGTTACTTTCCTTCTTCTAATTTACTTTTTATTTCCTTCTTATTTTCTTTTTATTTTGTCTTACCATATATGGTTGTATTCTATTTTGAAATTCACTGGATGTTTGTGTTTCATTCTGAAGTTCATCAAAACGAGGACAGTCAGGGAGAGGAAAGTTCAGCCTCTGAAACCAGAAAAGTAAAAGTTAGAATAGTTCTAAAATTATCAACACCCCTCTGTTTTTTTCTGTTGCTGAGATTGATGATGTAATATTTGTTAGACGGATCCATGGCTGTACAACAGTTACTCCTTAATTGTTTGCCTGGCTACCTTATTCATGAAGTTGGTTAACATAGGCAATGGACTGTGGTGGTTTGGCTTTTCAGTGGCTACTTCTTTGGATAGCTTGATTTCCCTCAGTTGAGTTTATTTTGGCAAAAAGCAATTACATGTGTCTAGCAAGAGATTGCTTCAGGAAATGGATCAGGGTGCATGATCAGAAACTTTGAAAGGCTACTATTTCCTCCTTAATTTCTGAATCCCCCCAGATGCAACTTGACTCCACCTGGTCCTGGAACCTGAACTGCTTTTGCATCTACACATCCTGCTCTCATCTTGGGAGGTAAGTGGATCATGGTAAGCATTTTAAGTACCACTTAATGGACAGAACTCCAAACAAGGGTGACAAATAAATTGTACTCCTGAAATCTCAAAAAGCTATGAGCCTAATGGCTCTGTTCTTATTTAGGGATACGGTTCACTTTTAATAACTCCAAGTGTATGCATTACAGGGTCACCTGATAGTACATATTTGATTTGAACCACGTGAAAATACATGCATTCATCAAACGCTGTGCTCTAGCCAATATGGTTTATACCAATCACAGAAAGACAAATGATACCTGATCCAGCATAAAGTGTCAGTAAAAAGTCATGATGAGCAAAACAAGCTTATACTGGTTCAGCACTTTATGTCACATCATTAGAGCATTTTTGACCCAGCACTAATAATAGCCTATAACCATACAAATCATGGAACTGACTTAATATACAGTGGAGAAAATAACTTGTATATCTATGGCTTATGTATGAGCAAGAGTGTTTACTCTGTCTTGGGGTGAACATTACCTGACTGCACATCTCTTTTCTCTTTGATTAATCAACATGAAGTTTGCAGTAGCCACCAACTCTAGCCCATTTTCACTTGGGCATATTTCCAAGAGTACAATTTTTCTGTAACAGCAGCACACTAGAGGATGAAGGCTCAAAGTTGCAATATGAATCTGGGGAATGTTGTTTAATTACACAATAACAAATGTTTCTCTTGCGCATGGCTTAATTATCCCTCTCTAGGTGTTATTAATTAAGCCACTCCCTTTGACTTCATTAAGCATTACTCAGTACTGTTGCCTGACAAGTCTTGATAGATCTCAGTGGCTTAAAAATAAACTGTGATTACCTTTTTTTACAAGACTGTACTTGGCCTCAATTTCCCACTTTGTGTCGCTTGGGGCTTGAAAATGCCTTCAAACATCTGCTTGGTTTAACAAGGGAACAATGTTTTTTCCAGGTGATTTGCATATATAACAGGAATTTTGAGTTGCTGCAGAGGTATGATTCAGTGAAACATCAATACCCACTCAGAGAAGCCGCACAAACAATGAGGTACAAGAGACTCCTACAAATGAGCTTGCCTTCTTCAAATGGGTCATTACATTGCATTGTGATTCCCCTAAGGGCTTTGAGGTATTGTTTGGGCAAAGCCCTGACCACTTTGATGCTTTTCTGGTCTTCTGGTGAAAGAACTTCCCCTGGTGTCCCACATTGAAATGGCAGTGACAGCATTCTTTTCTGTTGAGGAACAGGGCTAAATTTCTAGCTGAATCACATTGTGCCTAATCCAGTTTGTGGAAACCCTTTCACTCTGTACCTGCTTTCAAGCATGGTCTCAAAGAATGGAGGAATACCAAAGGAAGTCAGGTGTGGCCACCTCCTGATGACAGTCTATTCTCTGATGTTGGTGACAGGCAGTTATTTAATAGGAGATTTGTATAAATTTCCTTAAAGTCAAATTCTGTCCTCAAAGGTAGAAGAAAAATAGGCTTTCTGTCATTACATTCAATAGCTTTTCATCCTTGTTGGACACACTGTTCCTTACACAGTCCTTGTCACAAGAACAAGTGAAATTAAAATGTAAACATGAGTCAACCAGAGAGAGCTATGTAAAGCAAAACTTCTACAGGACCTATTATTCAGGTGGATCTGCTCTTATGATATGCAAGAGAAGTGCTAAGATTTCATTAAACATTTCTATAGTACTGAGCATAAAAGGACCCTTCTCTTTAATTAGAGTACCTAAGTGCTACCAGAATAGAAAGATATAATTGTGAGGTCATTACAGTGGCTGGATAAAATTCAATTCCTTGAATAAACTATGAAACAAACTTGCCAGAGAGAGGATTGGTGCTTAGGAAAGCATTTGTTTCCTGGAAAGGTTTAGGGCATCTTCCCTAGCATACTGTCCAAAAGTGTTCTGCTCAAGAAAAACGTGCTTTGAAGAAAATGATAGTGTATATAACAGTTGAGGTATTCTGCAACTACAGAAGGAGGATTTTCATGTAGCTATTACAATTGACCTATGATATACTTGTCAGCCAGTAGCTGCATTTGATATTTTCTACTAGATTGAACTCAAAAAGCATAGAAAATATTTTTTAGCTATTTCCATTTTTTCTCTTTTTTGCTTCTGTGAAAGTTTAAGACATTACAGGAAGCATCTAGCCAGTACTCACCCGCTCTGTTGATTTTTGAAAAATATGAACTGGAATGGGTTGCCAGAGAAGCTCAGGGTTCCAAATTTGGCTGCTAGTTGGTGGAAAGAGGCCAGAAAGGTACGACTGGGCACTCATAATGGTGCGATCATAATCTGTACTTTGGATGTAAAACTGAAGATAAAATGGCAAAGAGTTAAAAATAAAATAAAAACTATAAAAATAATAGGGAAATTTTACCCAACTCATGAATCCTGGCTTCTTGTTTTCGGTATTATGTTTTTGCATAAAGTCAAAACAGTGAAACCATAACTCAGCTTTCTAGGGCCTTACTTCAATTTCATAAATGGAATTGCCAAGGTATCTTTTAATTTGGAATCTAACCCTCAGATTGAACTGAGAGAATAAAAAAGCATGATTTGAAAGAAGGAAGCTCTCTATCTTTTGATATTCAGAAGAACATTGATACATATGGACATGGTGCTCAGGGACATAGTTTAGTGGTGAACTTGGCAGTGTTGGGTTAAGAGTTGGACTTGATGATCAAAAAGGTCTTTTCCCACCTAAGTGATTCTATAATTCTATCAGCTATACCTCAGGAATGTTAATGCACTTAAAATCATAAATTTCTCTTGGAAGCTTGGCAAAGTTATAGTCTTTCATACCTTCCCATCAATGCATCCCTAATATATAGACCAAAATGGTAGTGGTATCTTCCCCACAATGGATTTGTACTGTATGATAAGCATATCCAAAAAACTGTTAGACCTCTGTTTTACAGGATGAAGTATGTGAGCATGGGCTATTGCATGACTGAATAGGCATTCGTTTTTCAACAGGGTAGAACAATTTGGAGTCACTGTATAAATTCCCAATTCATTTGGTGGTGTGGAGCTGTTCAGTTCAGGAAAATTTGTCTGTGAGAGACCCAAACTGAATGTAGGAGCTGAAAGTTAGATTTTAGTCTGTGTTTAAACCTTGACATAAAAGTCTGACTTCCAAAAATGTTCTTCTTTTACCTTAATTTTTCCATTAATAAAATGAGTATGATGATGTGCTTTTATAAATCCATAGTTCTGCTATGCCAGAGAAATGTGCTCCGGACAGTTCTGCTATATACCTCTTGCCGGTTGTATGTGCTGTTCAAGAAGGTGGAATATCGTTTCCGCATGTACTGTCCGAGTTCAAACAGCTGCTGCATTCCAGTCTGCAAGACAAGCATACAGGTGACTATTAGATTAAGGTGACCGGAGAATCTCAATGTAGAAGTTTCTTTTCTGTTTTCTTTTTTATGTGTGTGTGTCTTCAGTTTTTAAGTAATCATTAACTGTATAGTGTACGGTTGCTGTGGTTTAGTCCCAGCTGGCAACTAAGCACCAGTCAGCTGCTCATTCACTCCCCCGTGGTGAAATAAAGGAAAGAATCAGGAGAGTTAAAGTGAGAAAACACAAGGGTTGAAGTAAAGAGTGTTTTACATGCAAAGCAAAAGCCACATATGCAAGCAAAGCAAAACAAGGAATTTATTGACCGCTTGCCGTGGACAGACAGCTCTTCAGCCTCCAGGAAAGTGACTTGGGAAGACAAACACTATAAGATTGAATGTTTACTCCCGTTCCTTCTTCTTCCCCTAGCTTTATATGCTAAGCATGGCACCATATGGTATGGAATATCCCTTTGGTCAGGGGAGGCAGCTGTCCTGTCTGTGTACCCTCCCAACTTTTTGTGCTCCCCCAGCCAAACTCACTGTCAGGGTGGTACAAGCAGAAAAGGATTTGACTCTGTGTAAGCCCTGCTCAGCAGTAACAAAAACATCCCTGTGTTATCAGCACTGTTTTCAGCACAAATCCAAAACAGAGCCCCATACTAGCTACTGTGAGGAAAATTAACTCTCTTCAGGCAAAACCAGCACAACTGTGTATGTTGTAGATGATCTAGCATTTTTAACAGAAATACCCATTTATATCTGTGAAAAAATTATGTGTTCTGAACTGCTAAGACTGCAGCATCTGCTACAGAAAGGCGCTGCACTTGATTCTATACAAATACAATTTCCACCGTGCTATAAGTCTGTAGATGCTAAGTGATAATGTATGTCACTTAGTGACAGCTGAGAGAGGATGACTGACAGCCTAGTGTTCATCATTGTCATTGCTCTGCTGTTTGATCAACCTGATAAATTTGTGGCTTACACTTCATGCTTGAAGTAACGTTCTTCCGTCTTTGTCTTGGTGTGCCTGCAGTTGTCTTAGATTGCACACTGTCTTTTCTGTTATTAATTTCTAAAACCTGAGATGAACTTTTTCATTTTTAGCTGTCAGAGAAGTACATTCTTACTACTGTTACTACAAAGAAAATAAAATACCAAAAATCTCTGAAAAAAGTCTATGCCAAGCAGAAACTTACTTCCTCTTACATAAGCTATGTACCTGAGGATAGTAATGTGTTGAGTGTCTTAATTTTACAAATCTTTCAAGTCTCCCTTCAAACATTAAATGCTGACCTGTCTCTGTTTCATGCTTCTGCATCATGACAAAGTGTTATCAGGAAATGCATTGGCCTCTCTTTGCTCCAGAACTTCGTATGTCAAATACAGTTAAAGAGCTAAGGCTCGATGTTGAAATGCCAGAGCAAGAAGTAGGTTCAGTGCATCCTAGTGAAACTCTGGACTGCAAGAAGCCTTGTTAGAAGACACACTGTCCCCAGAAGCAACCTTAGGTCCTGCAAGTCTTCCCTTATTTTGTGAAATGGTGGTTTTCAGTCCAATGCTGAGATGTGGGCTCATCACTTGATCTGGTGCACTGGTGTCATTCTCTTACCCTCTCATAGGACCCGGTGCTTAATGGTCACTAGAACTTCATCCGTGTTGAGAGTACAACATTAAATGGCAGTTAAACTTGCCATTAACTTGAATGCAGGCACACTGTCAAAAAGCTCTTGCTTTTAGGAAGGTAGTTGTAAAGCTATGATGAACAAGATTTCAGTTTAAAAGTAGCTGGATGAATAACATTGCAAAAATGTTTATGAATTATGGAGTATCACTAATACCAACTATCAGCAGTTGGGATTTGCTAATGTTTTTGAGACACACATAAAAAAAATCTTCCCACTTCCTATTTTATTAGCATATATAAATTCTTCTAAGAAAGTCGACATACCTTGGTGAGTTGTCCAAATCCCTGGGGCCATTCGCTTTCTTTGTGTAGATCAGTTGGAAAGTTTACAATTGGTGTTCGGTCACCATGTCGGAAAACCTAACAGTATTACCAATAAAAAACCCCTTAGTTTAATGCTATTAACATTCCTTTCTTATCTAACTAGAAGTCAAGCATATATTATACTTCCAGTGCCATTTTTCAAATGAAAATATTAGAGAATCTGCAGAAACCCAGTCAAGTAAGATTGGAGTATATTCTTTACATTCAAGAATATGTATAATTATATAAGTGGGCATAAGCCTGATGATTCTTCCTCCTAGAACATAAAATTAATCACCAAAGATGTTAGTGCTGGGATTACATTCATAGCTAGGCATCTAGACAGGAAATCTGAAAGGAAATGCTGGAATACACATTCATAGGGCTCCAGACAACCTTCCAGAATGCTGACCTTACTATTGCAAAAGTTACCTTTACTTGTCAATGTTCCCATAACCAAACTCATTCCCAACTTAGCAGAATAAAATGACGATGTAGAATCATGATGTATTTGTTCATAAAAGGACATTTGTTCCCTAGTACCTCAGTGGTATATAACTTTTTTATAATTATTACTCTCCGCTGCCTCATTAAGCCACATCATTCTTGCCCAAACATCAGAGACGGTTGTATGGGCTAGTTAGTTTGCCACTCCCACTGGAAGGTGTTTCATGTTTATATTTTTCAAAGTAAACACCAGCAGTGTGGCTTAATGTTTTAATTACAGCATATTCCCTTTCCTTCAGCCTTCTGTACTGAAGCACACAAGCCTGTGCCAGAGCAGGTACTTCAAAGATGGAAAATACTGTCCATTAAAGGCAAATGTAATTGGATTTCTCTCTCTGTTTGTTTTCTACAGTAGACAGCAAAGTTTGCTGTAGTACGTTACCATTAGAACCATCTAGAATACTGCTTATTATTTTTTTGTTTTGCTAGTTGAATTTCACTGAAGATGTGGCCAACCTGAAATGAATATTTTGCAGCAAATCAAGCAGTGTTTTTCATTATCATCAACAACATGTTGGTCAACATGAAATTGCATAGTTTCAGGAAAAAAGCCCTGTGCCTTTTTTTTTTCTGAGTTCAAGAACAGGAAAATAGTCCATAAAATCTTTTTTTCTTTTTGTTTTTTTTTTTTTTTTTGCTTCTCCATGCAATTTTAAATTCTCTATATATCTCTCTTCTTACTAATTTGGAATCTGAATTGGTTAGGTATAACCATTTCTCAGAGCACCTCTATTGAAGAGGAGAATAAGTGAAGAGCTACATTGTCTGGTGACTGATTCAGTCGCATGCAAGAAAAACAAGTGAGAAGAACTTCACCAAAAAGCATTTTTAGGGGTAACTGACAGTTGCTCAAACTGACTGACATGATTAAATGACTATTTTTTTAGGCAATATTTAAAAATGGATCAACATTTGGCCAATAAATATGCCCTTTTTACTAGTGAAAAGTTACTGAAAATGTGTTAGATTTTAAATACTGCTTTGTGATATTTATACTTCATGTATGACTTAACCCTCAGCGTGTATTTCACTGTCACAACAGTTAACCCCTAAAAACTTTCAATAAGCCAGATCAGAGCAGCATTTTACCTGAACAGAGACTAGCATGCAAAAGGGATCAAGATCAAAAGATATTCAAATATATTTGGGAGCAGGAGATGTAGTGAAAATTATTTTCTTTCTTTGTAACCTTAGGAAATTGAAGCAGTGGAGGGTCTGATCTTCTAAAAAGCAGCACAGCTTCAAGTTCACATAAAATAGGAATGAGTTCAGTTCCTTGTTTATATTTCTTCACCTTAATTTCACAGTGACATATGAATATGACGTGAACACTAAGTTAGAAGTAAGGGGGAAACAAATACTTCTAAGAGCAAAAGCCCGTTTTTAGGAACTGAAGGGTGAAACTTGTCAGGCTACTGATTTTTGTTTGTGCTCAAAGCTCCTTCTTGCTTGCTACTTTTGAAAATAACCTTGCTTCAGCTGCAGTTGCAAATGAAACAATGACCTTATGAACAAACACTTAACCTAAAAGACTGACTTGTTCACTCATTGCTACCTTTTAGGAGACTTTTTTTTTTTAATTTAAAACTCTAATAGGAGCTTGTATATTGGAAGTTTATGTTTTTCATTAGAAGATCTGATAGTGTTAGGAAAAAAAACTGCATCCCTACAAATCTTGTCTTGCTCATCAATAGGTACTTCTCAACACTTATAATTTCAACTTTGTTAAAAAGGAGTTGATTCTTTAAATTAATCTAAAAATAGGTGTGCTGCAGCATTTATTACTCCCAGCCTCCAGATTGCATTCCTGACCTTTCAGAAGACACAGAACATGGCAGGATGAGGGAAAAGGAGAAAGGAGGCATCATAAAAGGTGAAAAGACATTAGAAATCAAGAAGGAAGGGAGGGCAAGGAGAATATACACAAGAATATACACAAGAATATACACAAGAATATATACAAGGAGAATATATGCAAGCAGACCTGTTTGGGATATTCATTTCAGCAGTCCTTTCTGAAGCACTTTACCTCAGTTCTCAAAAGCAATGGGTGCACAGTTATCCAATACCTCCCTTTCAACTCTGATACTGCTTGAACCTGATTTGGTGTCTGGGTTCACCCAGTCACTCTTTGCAACTTTAGGAGGGTGATCATATCACATCAAAATGGTCACATGCCTGAGACTTTGGCCAGCATTTGCTTCCGTTGTTGCCAGGTGAAAAACCATGTTGGAGAAAAACTGTTGAGAGGGTGAGCTGAGAATATGGCATGTATATATTCATTCAGAAATGCCATGAATTACAGAGAATTATCTGTCTCTGAGTAATAGTGAGCTTCTTACAGACAATTTTATTGACAGACTCAGCTTCAAACAAAAAGATTTCTTACTTTGAAGCCAGCAATAGGAATGAAGAAACAAGAGTGAAGTGGAAATATCATGCTGTCAGTTCAGGGAAACGGTAGATGCAGAAATACTGAGCATGTTTAGTCAAGGTTTCAGATGGCTTGGCTTGATTAGACAAATCATGCTCAGAGATAAGATGCTCAGTACACTTTCTATCCTGATTTACAAGAAGAAAGACATGATGAAATCACAGTACCTCAGAAGCCACACCTCTTTGCGTGCATGACAGGTGAAATGAGTGCATGTGTGGAGAAGTTACAAGTCAGGACTTCTTTATACAGAGGCAATAAAACAGTATTTCGTTTCTACTTGAGTACCTGATTGTCCTACATATTTCCTATTTTCTTCTGTCTGGTTTAAATTCAGTGCGCAAGAATTATGGTGAAGGCTAATGATTACATGTGAGAAAGAAAATTTAAAAAGCATTTTGATAAATTGGCTTGAATTAGAGCTTTTCAGACAAAAGGACTTGTGGCCAATAAATAAAATGCACAGAATCAGCATAAAGTTGGAAATTGTGAGGAAAGAGTGAGACATCCTCCCAGGCACAGCACAGCACAGCTCTAGAAGTGAGCAAAAAGGCACATTTATGTTTTTTTTTCTCCCTTGCAGATGTATTTTATATTGTGCAGCTCTGCTAAGAAAGTTTTAAAAAGTCATTATGACAATTTTCACAGTGCACTAATACTCTCTGGTGAAAACATAGTGACTCACAGAGTACAGCTGTAGAATGGCTATTGAATTATCTCAGAAAGATGCCTTTTAGACTTACCTTGACGGTAGCCATACCCTCGTTATATCCCATTATACAAGTGATATGTTCTGGGCCAATTCCCATCCTATTTATTTATGCTAGCAATTCTGCTCCCATGAAAATTCAGTGAGTTCAGAAGGCAAAATTCAACTGAGCACACGTAGGCCATGCTTTGAGAAAAAAGATGCACATTGTGATAAGATTCAACCTATTGTAACTTTTTAGGTGATTGGTCAGCCTAAGCAAATGTATCAGGGATAAAAGGAAGACAGTTTAAATGAAATTTACCTACTATTTTATTATCAATTGTGATAAGCTACCCTAGAAATAAATAGGTATTTTGGTAAGTGGCTTCATAGTTATGGTAAGCAGATGATCTTGGAAAGGAAGCCTCTATCTCCATAATGGTGAACATTTCCTGTAAGTCTTTCTGCAAAACCATTCCTTGTTAGAACACAATAACAGCTGCAATTCAATAGAAGTCTCTTTCCCTTCAAGGAGTTAATTCTCCAAGGCCTGCTGTCTGCCTGTTTTCATCTGTGTGTCCAGTTCTCCTTGTTATCATTGAAACAACATTTAAATATATTGCTATATACAGAACGTTACTGAAATTAATGTTGAGTCCCTGCTGTGTCAGCAGGAGTAGGACCGGTTCTTCCTGTGCACTCTGGCCTCCCTCCAAGTTATGCATCTATAGTGCAGCCAATAGACAACTAGACATGACATACTTTATCTAGAGCCAGATGATTTGTTTTGGACACAGCACTTCTGCCTGTTACCTGTACATACACATAATGTCTCAAATAGAGAAAGGTGGAAGGAGAAGATCTTCAATTTCCTATTTATAAATGCAAATTCCAATCCTCTCAACTTTGTATAGAAAATATCACTTTAGACCAGTCTATATAACTATTCTTTATCAATGTACCTCTTGTTAAAAAAAAAAAAGAAAAAAGAAAAAACTATGAAAAGGACTATGGTGAACCTTCATAATCCCAAATATTACATTGAATTAATCTCTCTTCTTCCTGAGGTATTGGGGAAAGGGACATGGAAGTATTGTCTAGTTACTTTAAAATAAGAAATGGCCCAGCAAAAAAATTATTACAGTCAATTTTCAGCGTAATTGCAGTTAATGCAACATGTGTCTCAAATATGTACATAAAAATGCCTATTTCTGTTTCTCAGTATTCTGCTGTGACAATTCAGTTGTTGTGAAGTGGAAAATACTTTTTTTTATGGTAACTTCTATGACATCATAAGGTTCAGCTTCCAAGCACAGAATAGGTAGGCCATAATCACCAGCTCTTGGATTATGAATTGGAATGCTAGCTAAATTAAGGAAGAATAGGCAAACATAGACTTTGCATCTCTTAACTCCTATTCACTAGGCATCTACCACAAAGCTAACTTGTTCAGATATCTTGAAATAATAACTAGAGGTTAGGAGATGTAAATTCTTATAACTAGAGGCATTTTTATCCATCTTTAGTTAAGACCTTTAAACTCAGTAAGCAAAAGGGTAGTAGTAGTTATTTCTAAGTTAGAAGATAGGCATAGCAGCTGCACACCTTGTCTGATTCGACAGACATGTAAAATTGCCTGTATTCCCCACGACAAAATAGAGAACAAAACTACTTACTACAACCACAAACTTCAGTTCTCGTTCTGCAGTAGTCTGTTGAAGCAGAATGAGGATAAGATGAAAAGAAAAACACAGGATCCTGGACAGGTTGGGAATCTGTATCATCACATCCATCCTGGCAGAGGAGGAAAAAAGGCTTTGTAGCTCCAGCAGCTGCTCAGGCTGAACAGCTGAGATGTCAGGCTGTACTTTCAAAAGGGGTGGAACTGCCGCTGGTGCATTTCAAATGCAAGAGGAATGTTGTGTGACTACGCAACAAATTGCATTGCCCTTTGTTTTTGAATTACTGTTTACATTCCTCTTAAATCATAATTCAGTTCCTTTTTTTCTCTGATATTTTTCTCTTTTGGAGTGTAAGGACGAGGTTAAAATACAAAGGAGTTGCTAAGCATTCCTAACGTTCAACCTACCTGTTCTGATTCCACTTCTCAGGGTTTGGAATTTTTCCAAACTGCAGCGTGGCCATGAGGATGAACTCAGAACCAAGAGCCAGGCAATACTCTTTTCTCTTTGCTGCTCAGCTAGTTCACTTTTCGGCTTCCCTCCCCTTCTTTTTTCTTCTCTCTTCTATATTATTACTGTGAAATCAGAATAATTATTTCAGACAACATTTCATGTAGGTTAAAATTGCCAGTCCCTTAGATAAAATAGTTGAAATCTTGCAACAAGTATCTCTTTAAGCTCCTTGCTGGGCAGTTATTTGCTCTTCAATTTGTGTATGTTGCTTTTCTTTTCCCTTGGTCTATTTCTGTACTTCCCCTTTTGTAACTGCTTATATCAAGACTTTTTCAGCCTCAGATCTCTAAGACATTTCTTGTGAACAAGCCCTGGAGCTTATATTTTTATTGTTACTGATTAAGAACACTCTTTCTGACAGTAGCTCACTGCCTCTGAGAAGATTGCTCAGCTTGCCTCTGCTGACTTCCTCTCTGTAAAATAAGAATAACAATAGTTGATTTCATAAGGATTTTTTGAGTAAATTGATTAGTTTGCAGAGACCTATAAATAGAACTCTTTAAATGTTAAAACTTTAGGTCCTTAGTGTATTGTCATTCCATTCCTGTCATACCCAAACCTGTCTCGGGGTCTCCTGTTGAGCTCTCTGTAACAGTATTCTCTACAGAAGGTTTTTACCATTTACCCCAAATTCTATCTTTAGAGCCCTAAAGCCCACTAAGCTTCAGGTGTTCTCTCCTCTGAGTCGTGTGAATGTCCTTATGTATCCACTTTGCCTGATGGATGCGTCTGGAAGGGAGGAGTACCACAGCTCCCAGACTTTCCCATCTATCTTCTCAGTCCATTGCCAGTTTTCAGCACTTGGACTTCTTTCTTTCTCCACTGCTATGTCCCCACCCTTCTTTTTGATCTCTCCTGATATTTTTGCCTATGCAGAAGGTATAAGAGAGAAATCCATGCTTCATAAATACATAATACTTTGCCTTTCTGAAAAGAACCGCGAGATGATGATGTTCCTCTACTATTTAAAGAGTACGGATCATAAAATATAGTTTCTTTAGAATAGTTCAATATCCCTCAAAAATCCGTGATGGATTTCCTACTTTTTTAATCTATATAGTTTTCTAGATGGGTGGTCCCTAAGCTCTTTGATCAAGGAATTCTTGTTAGCTCTCGTGATTTTTTCTTTTCCTATCTAAGCCCTTACTATGAAATTTATGTGATTAGTTTTTTTATAGAAGTTGCTTGTTTGTTGTGTTTTGTTGATGAGTGACTAAGACTACTGAAGTCTCATTATTATGGAAACCTTATAGTGACTTCACTTTAGACATGATCTCAATTTTTTTGTAATTCTGGATGGCACCATTCAGAAATATTTGAAATATATAACAACCCCATTTTATAGAAAATCTTTGCTGACATCTCTTAAAAATGATATTTTAACCCAAGACCAAGCATATGACAAGTAGTTCTGCTTTTTATGGTTTCACTTTTCCCTTTGGCATGTAACTTTGCTAGTGAGATTATTTTATGCTTGCTTTATTTAATGTAGACATAAAATAAATATCTGCACATTCCAAAATGAAAGAATATCCCATTCATGTGCCATGGTGGTTAAGACAGAGTCCTGTAGGAATCCCATATGCAATCTGTAGGTACATTGGTAGCATGTATTTTGTTTGAAAATTTCCTTGCTTGTCTTGAATTGTCTCCATTTCTACTGGGCATTTGACAGCTGTAAACTTGTCATATTCTGCAACAACTGAATCCTGGATCTTTTCAGAAAAAGTTGCTTAAAATAATAATTAAAAAAAATCCTTCTTAACTCAATCTATTTACAGTTGTCCAAGCAGTATAATGCAAGTGGACCTAAACAATTTGAGTCTTGTTTATGTTAATTTGGCTCATTGTCATATATTTTAATTATCAAATTATGACATTAAGTAGAATTAACTTAAACACAATTATCCATTTTAAGTGCATGTATCTATCTTAAAGGCTTGCTGAAGCATAGCTCAATTGGCTTTGAAGTGGACTAGTTGCAAAAGAACCCATGCTTTAATGTACTCAAGGGTTACCTGAGGTAACCACTGCTGGTGGAGCTCAACCTACACACTGAAAGGGTGGAAGTCATTGCAGTCAAGACAGCAGGCATGAAGCTGCTGCCAGCACTCATGGAGCAGGTTTCAATAAACAAAGTGACACATTTTTCAGGCACCATTTTGAAGCACTTCTGAGAAAAACTAAAGACTGTCTTGCAGTCCTGTGTTGGGGTGTTTTCACTTAACTGTGGGAAGTGGGAAGGGACAAAGGAATTAATTTGTGACACAGGAAGAATTAATTTACTTATGCTGGCGACAGAACATGAATCTATATCTTGCACTACAGGAAAAAAAGCCCTAAGCCCAAAGTTACTACTATAAGGCAAGCAGGGGGAAGAAAGTGTCTACTCACTGTGTCTTAGTAAATTCCTAGTTTGTCCCAAGTTTATGATATGCACTTGGTTAGAAGGCACAGAGAGAATTTCTTTTTGGTCTTATGTGATTAAGATGTTTGCCTGAGACACGGAAGCCTAATTTGTAGGTTTTTGCAGGTTTACATATTTCTAGGAAATATGTAAACAAAGTGAACAGTAAATAAGAAAGAGACAGAAAGCACTATTCATCTTCACTTTCGCCTCTGAAACTCTGCAGTCTGGTGGTGATTTTGGTTTCTGGAAGAGGTAGAGTCAGATCCTTCTGGTAAAGGAAGGATTTTAACTTCTGTCAGCCACATCTCAGATGAGTACCACTAAGTAAAAAGAAGGAAAACCTACTTCTACCACTACCATGAAACAAATCAAAATTAGTCAATTAATTTGATCCATATTTGTGAGTTATGCAAAGTTTGGGTTGGCTTTTTTTTTTCTTTCTTTCTTTCATTTTTGGTAGTCAGTCAGCTCAGTAAATAACGCAAAGAGAAAAGGAAGTGATGAAATTAACAAAAACGATAGTCCAGGCTGTCCGGTGCCACATTTCCCAGGCAGTACAAAATTACTGTTGCTTTTCTGTTGTTCATTCCCCATCTTGTTGGCACTGCTTCAGCATATGACAGGAAAATTACTGAGCATCACAAGGTGTATCCACTTATATTACAGCATCTATGACTATGTAGGTTATTGTATTATTAGCAAGTCTTCTTTAAAATATGACTGGTCTGTCTATGCACTGTTTGTGCAAGAAGAGAGGGAGTTGCATTTTCAGGTGATCCTGCTTTTTCAACATATTTAAAATTAAATAGTTTAAATAGTAGTCTAAATATTTCTAAAGCTGAACCGTAATATTTTTTTCCATCATTTTTACTCATTTCTTCTTTAAGAGGAACTGAAATAACCTGTTTATGGCTTCACACCTGCAAAAGACTACAGGACTGATTTTTCCAAGGAAGTCAGCTGGTGAAGTAGAAAAACATAGTTTAGAGCAGTTTATTATCCGTTCACTGACATCCTGAATTTATATTCCTACAATAAGATCTGGGCTTGATGTTTCAGCCTTTATAAACACTGATGTTTATTTTTCCTCGGAGTAAGCAAGGTAAAAAGGAAATCTTCCTTTCTGTGTTTCTACAGTGATAGTCCTAAGAACAAAAATTGTCACAAAGAATGTGTGTGATGGGGTTTCTGCTGATTAAGGATGAGGGGAATAAAATAATTTAGAAATACTTTAATTTGTGAATTAAATTTGAAATTTATTTTTGCTCAGCAGAAATCAGAATGTTCAAGGTACATTCACTGGGCATGTAACATGGAAGAAGTCATAGTCTGATCATGTGATGGGAAAGGGGGACCTTACATTGGTGTACTGTGAGCAGTGACCTTAGCTAGGATGCACTTCCATAGCTGACCTGAAGTGCTGAGACCAGGGTCCGTAATCCCCCATACCAAACAAATCTGTGGGACAGACAAAGGGTCATCATGCAGTTCTGAAAATTTTTGAGAGATGGATTTGGGTGAGGAAGGAGGGGAGGAACTGGGAACTGGAGACTAAAGAGAATCATGAAGAATGTCTCATCTCTTGCATTTTCTATGTAAGCCTTGTGCAACCTGGGAAACCAACAGAAAAGTTGCCCTTGCCTTTGATGGGAGAAGCATGAAACCCCCTTTACAGCTCTTGAACTTCCACTTCTAAACATTTGGCAAAAAAATCATTAAAAGCAACTCAAGCAGCATAAGTTAGCACAAGTTCAGAAAAAGAAGAATCAGGAACAGGTTCAGAAGAAATAAAAAAATGCCTAGAAATTTGATTTTGACAGCCAAAGCTATGATCTGTTAGAAGTCTGATACCAATAAAGATGGAACCTTAGCTTTTCCTTTCTATTTCCTTTCTTCTAGCAGGTTTTTTTAAATTAGTTCTTATTAAGGGAGGTGTCATGATCAATGTGGTTTTGAAATGAATCATTTAAATAGCTTGCACTAACTTTCCTGTGAGGGCTGCAAGGCCTAGGAAGGCTTTTGGCTGGTGTCTATTGTGGGACGTTAAGGTAATACAGAATAAACAAGCTTGTTCTCCTTTTGTTAAGAAGTAGCTAGAACTGGTTGTCTCATGTTGTCAGGAAACATTTTTACCCTTGTTTGGATGCTGTAGTAAAAGGGGTTCAATTTTTTGACTAGAGGGAATAATTTATTTTTGTCTCTATGTTTGCTGCGACATCTAACTACAATGCTTCTAGATTAACCATGCATCCTATAATGGCTTGACAAGCACGGGAATTGTTGCTTGGGACCTGCTGAGAAGAGAATAGGCATTTACAGTGAGAATTCTGAATCTCAGATTCTTGTTAGAGGGGAAAGGGATCCTTTTATTATTTTGATTCATTTTTAGCTTAGGGAGTAGCAGCTATCTGCTTATGAGGTAATTCTAAAAAGGAATATACTTTTCATAGGCTTAGCATCTATTTTAAAAGCCTGGTCCAAGGAAAGGAAGCTAGAATGGCAAAATTTTCTATATCTCATATATTACTCTGGTTCTCTTTAAAATGACCTG